CAAAAAAAAAAAAAAAATGGCCCAAAGGGAGGTGTGACTATCTCCTAGGCACAATCTTCAGATACCAGGACATGCTGTCCCTGTGTCCTGGCCATGCACACACCCTCTCTTCCTGGGACCTATGGTGTTTATTTGTAAGAAAGCCTGTCAGCCCCCTGTAAGCCTTACTTCTGTGGCAAAATGAGCCCAGAGAGTGACTGCTAATGGGTGTAGATTTCTTTTTGGGGTGATAGGATCTAAAATCGATTGTGGTGACCATTGTACAGCTCTGTGAATATACTAAAAACCACTGAATCATACACTTTGGAGTGAACTGTGTGATATCTGAATTATATCTCAATACAACTGCTGTATAAACACATACACAAGCCCTGGGGTGTGCAGATGGCTCATGGGGCGCATGAGTGCCGAGCTGGGAGGGAGCAATTTGTAGCCTCACCCGATGTCGCTGAGCTGTGTTTATTGGTGGCGTCTGTCAGTGCTGGGCTTCAGGCATGGCGAACTGTGAAATTAAAAGCTGCTGCTCAGGCCTGTGGCCTGGAGCTCGTGTCTGGCTCCGGCTGCTCCTAGACGGGGAGAGGCCACTTCTCAGGGGAGCGTTGGGAGTAGGACAAAGGAGCGTGGGGCTTGCCAAGACCCACAGGCTGGCGGGCGGCTCTGCAGAGCTCTGGGAGTCGCAGCGAGACCTCCTGGCTGCTTTTCAAGCTGAGTCTGAGGATCTGGCCAATTGCCTTTGCTGTCAGAAAACTGGAGCCGGGGGGACCTCTTTGACTCCGACAGGCAAGGCTGGGGTGTCTGGGAGGGGGAAGAGGCTTCCTGGGGATAAAGTAGATGGACCCCTTACCCTGTCCCTGTGGACTAGTGTGGTGCCTGCCACAATCTCCTGTCACCTCTGTGCTGGTGACATCCAGACTAGCTGCTGCTTTGACCAGCCACACCTCCTAGACATCATTCATGTTGGCATTTATTGAGTGCCTGTTGTTTCCTGGTGCTGCTGGTGGTAGGAGTACAGCACTATGCAAAACCTCGTCCCTTGCTATAACCCTGAGGCATGAACAGGCTGTTGCTTGAACAGCTAATTTGTGTCCACAATGTAAATTGCTGTAAAGGGAAGAAGGGATGGCTAAGGTCCAGCCTCTGCTCTTATGATGTGTTTGTGCTGGTTGGAAAGCTTGAAGACCACTCCAGGCCACTTCTTAGGGAATACAAATTAAAACCTCAATGACATATTCATTCTCACCTAATGAAGACTGGCAAAACTGTAAAGTTTTGGGATCCAGGGTTGGTGAGGGTTTGGGGAGCCCTCACATGTATAAGAGACTCTCTTATACTGCTGATGGGAGTGTAAGTTGGGGTAGCTGTTTCGGAGGGTAATTTGACAAGTGACAGTCCCTGTGGAGAAACAGTGTCATTGTGCTAGGGGACTTCCACAAGGATGTCAGGCCAGCATTGAGAGCAATAGTGACAGTTGAGAAGCAGCCAAGTAGACTGTGACACAGCCACACCTTGGAGTGTCAGGTGGCACTTGAGAAGCCAGCGACAGATCTGTCTGTAGGTACTTGCCTGGGAGGCAAGATAAGAAAGCAAATTGTCGGGACCACTTCGGTTGAGAAGAAAGGCTCAGCCAGCGCCTCTTTCCCCAAACCAGCAGATCCTCGGGGTTCTTTGCACACAGCGGGACCATGGACCCCATCTCCCTGCCTGGTCCACTCCCCAGAGAGTCCTGGAGGGAAGAAGGTTGCTCACTGTCCCCACAGGCATCTCTAGTCCCTGCTGCTTAGTCCTTGGGAGGAAGGAGCTGACTGTTCCTGGGTGTGTTTGGCAGAGCACTCTTGCTGCCATGTGTTTGGACAATAGCTCCCTGAGAGGAGCCCGGGAGGCCATCGAAACCTGAGACACACTTGGGGATTCTGAAGAGTAAAAGTTTGAGGGTCTGACTCCTTTCCTCTTAGGCTGCTCCTGACGCTGGGGTGGGGTGTGATGGCCAGGCTTCCCCAAATGTGGATTGAGAGCCACGAGCTTGGGGGGTGCCGAATCCTGAGGACGGGGTCGTCACAGCCTGTGGACTGGACGGATGAAGTCCAGGCTGGCGAGGCCTCCTGTTGCTGAGACGACAGGAGATGGGCCTGGGCCACATGGCTGGGGGGAGGAGCTGCGTCTGAGCTGGTGTGTGTGATGCTGTGCAGAGTCAGTCATGCCTGGGGACCTGTCCTGTAGCTCTGCGTGAGAGCGTGTGTGTATGTGTGTGTGTATGTCCATTTATGGAGCAGCTGTTTGGAACCAGGTGTCTCGCATACATTGGTGAACAACACAGACGAGATCCCTGCTTCTCTGGAGCTCAGATAGAAAAAGAAAAAAAAAGGCCAGGTTCGGTGGCTCAGCCTGTAATCCCAGCACTTGGGGAGGCTGAGGCAAGTGGATTGCCTGAGCCTGCGGGTTCAAGACCAGCCCGGGCAACTTGGCGAGACCTCGTCTCTACAATAAATCCAAAATTGGCTGGGCGTGGTAGCGCGTACCTGTAGTTCCGGCTACTTGGAAGGCTGAGGCAGAAGGATCGCCAGAGCCCAGCAGGTTGACTCTGGGGTGGCCGTGAGCGTGCCACTGCATTCCAGTCTGGGCCACGGAGTGAGACTCCAACTCAAAAAAGAAGGATATGTGACTTCAGATGACAGTAAGCGCCTCAAAGAAAATAAGAAAATGAAAAGGGATAATGTGACCAGGCTTGGTGGCTCACACCTGTAATCCCAGCACTATGGGAGGCCAAGGCAGGAGGATTGCCTGAGCCCAGGAGTTCAAGACCAGCCTGGGCAACATAGTGAGATATCATCTCTACAATAAAAATTTTTAAAAATTAGCTGAGTGTGGTGGCACACATCTGTAGTTCCAGCTACTTGCAAGACTGAGGCAGAAGGATTGCCTGAACCCAGCAGGTCAAGGCTGCGGTGGCCATGAGCATGCCACTGCACTCCATCCTGGGCAACAGAGTGAGACTCCAACTCAAAAAGAAAAAAAATGAACTGGGCATGGTGTCTCGTGTAGTCCCAGCTACATGGGAGGCTGAGGCAGAAGGATTGCCTGAGCCCAGGAGGTAGAGGCTGCAGTGAGCTGTGATCATGCCATGCCACTGCACTCCAGACTGGGCAACAGAGTGAGACCCTGACTAAAAAAAAAAAAAAAAAAAGAGGGGCTGTAGGCTGTTTTAGATAAGGGATCAGAGAAGGCCTGTGTGGGGAGGGGACAGTTGGTCTGAAATTTGAATCTGAACAGGAACCAGGCACCAGAAGTCTTGAGGCAGAAAGAACATCAAGTAAAAAGACCCTGTATTCATAGGCAGGGTGGCCATGACACATATTGGGTGTTGTAGACAGCAGAAATAGATTTCCTCCCAGTTCTGGGACTGTAAGTCCAGGGTCACGGTGTGGCAGGGCTGGTTTCTCCTGAGGTCTCTCCGTGGCTCCCAGATGGTGCCTTCTCACTGTCCTCACAGGGCCTTTTCTCCATACAAGGACATCCCTGGTGTTTCTTCCTCTTCTTACAGAGACACCAGCCACATTGGATTAGGGCCACCTGTGTGACCTCATTTAAGTTCAGTCACCTCTTTAGAGGCCCTGACTCCAAATAGTCTCATTCTAGAGTGCTGGAGAATTAGACTTCCACATAGGAATTTGGGGGCCCACAATTCGGCCCATAACAGGCCCAACGGCGGCATCCAGCTTGGCAAGTTCAAGGAGAGGCCAGGTGCCTAGAGCATCTTGGTGCTGGGGAGAGGACAGCCTGGGAGGACGGGTGGCGGGGCTCAAAGGCAGTGGAGGTCAAGGTTATGTTCTGAGGGTCTTGGAAGCTCCTGGAAGCCAGAGTGGGTCTCTGGTTAATCTGCAGGTGGTTTGTGTGGGATTGTATGACTCTGCAGGGCATGGTCATGGCTCGGGTCTGTTTCTTACTCCAAGAAGCCGCAGGGCAGCCCCTGCCCACATAGGCTGGGATCAGAGAGACGCCGCCTGCGTTTCTCTCCCTGCCTGAGCGCCTTCCTTCCTCTCCTCCCCAAGAATTAAAGGCTGGTGGGTGTCTCACCACTACGTGTCCACGTTCCTGTCTGGAGTGATGCTGACCTGGTGAGTAGCTCTTGGCTGTACCCCTCAGTCTTGCCCAGAGCGGGAGTGTGCAGCCTGGGAATGGGCTGGAGGCCTTCGGGGTGGAGGAAAGTTTGAGCTTGCAGTGGGGCCAGAGGTCTGGCTACAAGGGCCATGCCAAGCCCCTGGGGGCTTTTCTGGGGAACGTTTTTGGGTCCTCTGCTGGCCTGGACAGAGGTGACAGGGAGCAAGGACGTGGCACTGCAGAGCAGAGAGGGGCTTGAAGGGAACTTGGACTTCAGCATGACCATGCGGGTGCCCCTGCTTCTAGAAAGGACAATGAATGTGACCGGTCCAGTTCCGGGGACAGAAAAGGGTGGAAATTGAGGGCCTCGGTTTAACTTCAAAACCTTTTCTTCTCTCCTGGTTGGAACAGAGTCGGGGCAGGGATGAAAGTCTCATTTCACAGCGTGCCCCACCCTTGTTTTTTCCCGCCTTCTTTCCAGGCCGAATGGACTAATTTATCAGAAGTTTCGCAATCAATTCTTAGCGTTTTCAATTTTTCAGAGTGAGTGTCTCTTGCCCAGATGTGGGGGAGGGGCACGGTTGCCTGTGGCTTTCACTGTGGGGGGGCCCCCAGTCGAAATCAGTACTTGCCTGTGTGAAAGGGGGCCCAGACTAGGGGAGGGGAGGGCCCCAGAAATCCGGGAAAGAACTGTTCCCCCAAATCAACTCCATCCCAGCCTTCAGCCCAGGGAGAAAGTGCCCCCGTCACTGCCTGTTTCAAAACTCTAGCCTTTGGGAGCCAGGTAGTGTCGGGACACTCACCCTGTCTTCCAGTTTTCAATAAGTCCTCAAAGTGAAAGCCATTTCTCGTTTGAGTATAGCTCTGAATTTGTGTACAGTGAACTGGTCCCAGGGGCTGTCTCTGCGGAGGGGACTTGGATGGCTGCGGACAGGGAGAGTTTCACTTTTCACCAAGAACCTGTTTGCTCCCTTTGAATTTTCGACCATGTGCATGTTGCCTTTTCAAAAAATACAACTTGGGCCAGGCATGGCATCTCACTCCTGTAACCCTAGCACTTTGGGAGGTAAGGAAAGAGGATCTCTTGAGCCCAGGAATTTGAGACAAGCCTGGGCAACATAGTGAGACCCTGTCTCTACAAGAAATTTAAAAATTTAGCAAAGTGTGGTGGCACGTGTCTTTAATCCCACCTGCTTGGGAGACTGAGGCGGAAGGATCACCTGAGCCCCGGATGTTGTCTGTGGTGAGCTGTGATTGTGCCACTGCACTCCAGCCTAGGCAACAGAGTGAGACCCTGCCTTAGAATAAAATAAATAAATTTTTAGGCCAGGCGCGGTGGCTCAAGCCTGTAATCCCAGCACTTTGGGAGGCCGAGGCGAGAGGATTGCCTAAGCCCAGGGTTCGAGACCAGCCTGGACAATTTGGTGAGACCACGTCTCTACAGTAAATCAAAAAATTAGCCGGGCATGGTAGCACGTGCCTGTAGTTCCAGGTACTTGGAAGGCTGAGGAGGAAGGATCGCCGGAGCCCAGCAGGTCGAGGCCATGGTGGCCGTGAATGTGCCACTGCACTCCAGCCTGGGTGAGAGTGAGACTCTGACTCAAAAAAAATTTTTTTTAAAATAAAAGCCTGCCTACAAACATATATAAATGTATAAAGCCAAGAATGGAAATTGTATTTCATCCCACTCTTAGGGGTGATCATTGTTCATTAAGATTTCTGTCCTTTCAAGCATTTTCATTCATAAATACATATATACGAATATCTTGTGGCATGTATATTTTATCAATATGTGATCTTTCTGTACATACAGCTTTACTATTACAACTTGATTTTAAAAGTTTTATTTTAGGCCAGGCTTGGTGGCTCAGCCTGTAATCCCAGCACTTTGGGAGCTTACAGGTTCAAGAACAGCCCAGGCACCTTGGTGAGACCTCATTCTCTACAATAAATAATTAGCCGGGCTTGGTAGTGCACACCTGTAGTTGCGGTTACTTGGAAGGCTGAGGTGGAAGGATCGCCTGAGCCCAGCAGGCCAAGGATCGCCTGAGCCCAGCATGGGTGATGGAGCGAAACTCTGACTCCCCAAAAAAAAGTTTTTTTATTTTAATAGTTTATTCTGGCTGTTTTCCCTGCCAACACCTCATTTTTAGCAACCACCAAGTACCAAGTTTCCCATTGATGGAACCTCCTCTTGTGTCTTAGCATTGCACATAGCTCCCAGCACAGCATGGACACATCTTGCATTCCATTAAGCAGCTATTGAGTGCCTACTGCATGCTCAAGGAAACTCCAGAAGTTTCTAATCTAGTTGGGGCTTAGATGGGCCTTCACACTCCTGAACTCTTTGTCGTCTTGATAAGGGATAAAGCAGCTTCAGACCGTGTGTGTGCGTGTGTGCGCACGTGTGTGTGCGTGTTGGGGTGGTAGGAGAGGGCAGTGACCAGGGCATCCTCCCTGCCCTCTGGCTGGTGAAGACCCACCAGCCTGCGGACTTGGGGGCAGAGAGTTGTCGCCCTGCCCTCCGCGGCCATCAGACCCTGACGCTGGGCGTTGTGCTCCCTCTGCAGGCTGTGTCCAGTTCCTGCAATACTATTACCAGAGGGGCTGCCTGTACCGGCTGCGGGCCTTGGGGGAGAGAAACCACTTGGACCTCACGGTGGGTGAGTAGCGGGGCCTGGGCTGGAGGGTGGGGGACAAGCACTGGGCGGTCCAGCTCTCACCCCAGGACCACTTCCTAGCAAGACCGTCCTGGGACCCAGAGGCAAAGCCAGGGCTGCCGCCCTCCATCCAAGGTGCTGTCCATTGTGGATTGTTTCACCTGACACGTGTCAGGCCTCTGTCTTACCCTTTCTGGGTGTCTATTTTTGTCTTCTTTTTTTTTGAGTCAGAGTCTCACTCTGTCGCCCCGTCTGGAGTGCAGTGGCACGCTCACAGCCACCACAGCCTCAACCTGCTGGACTCAGGTGATTCTTCTGCCTCAGACTTCCAAGTAGCTGGAACTACAGGCATGCCCAGATACTTTTTTTTATTTATTGTAGAGACGAGGTCTTGCCATGTTGCCCTGGCTGGTCTCGAACCCCTGGGCTCCGGCAATCCTCTCGCCTCTGACCCCCTAAGTGCTGGGATTATAGGTGTGAGCTATCGTGCCTGGATATTTTTGTCTTTTTGTCTGTGTTTCATCACATATATAGTATGTATGTTATATATATTATGTAAATGTACATATAACTGTCTAACATGTCTACATATGAACCATATATCATGTAAATGTATATACACTGGGAACCATGCCTAACTCCTGAACCCGTAGGCATGCCCAGTCAGGACAGCTTGAGTTCCCTCATGCAGGCCTTCAGGGGAAGCCATTTGTAATAAAACTCTGTTATCTTTGAGATATTCATTCCCACTGAATTACTCTGCTGGACAGTCCCTGCTGTGTTAAGACTTGACAGAAGGACTGCCCACAGGTTCGAGACTAGCCTGGGCAACATGGCGAGACCTCGTCTCTACAATAAAAA